AAAGTTGGACGAACGTGTCGGGATTTCAATGTACAAAATGCGTATGCTAAACTCTTCGCACCCCTCGTGACGCGCGCTCCCGCTTTCTCTCCGTCTTCTCGGGGCTGAGAGCTCCGACAGCCGGGGGCCCCTTGACGGGCGCCGCCGCGCCGGTGGACAAGGTCCACGCCGACGTTGCGACGGCAAAAATCAGCAAGTCTGATCAGTGGCGCCAAGTAGAAAGGGGCGCAAGTAGAACGCCGCTTGTTGTGTAGCATGCCCGCACGCGGGACGAATGTCCTGCGTTGCACTTTGAAGTTCGTGCCCCAAAGGACAAATTACTTTTTCGAGGCGGTCACCCGGCCTTGAAACCCTTACAGAGCGGCCCTTAGATCCCTTTAATGATCGCGGCTGCCGATCGAAGGTAATGCATATCAATGGACGGGGGACCGGCGAAACAAACGTCCGATACGCCGATAGTTCCTAATGACTTTCTGAATTTTACTTTTTAAAATGTCTTCCTCCGCGTCGCGGCTTGCCTTTTGAGCTCGACGATATTATTACCGTGATTCAAAGGCTCAATATAAACTTTATAACGTTGACCGGAATTACGGGTGCATCTCAATACAGCTTCAAAGGCTACACCTTCGTTGATATACATTTTTAGAGAGAGAGAGAGAGAGAGAGAGAGAAAAGAGGAGGAAGGGAAGGAGGGAGAGATCGTATCAAATATCTGTAATAGTCTGATTAGTTGATGCAAACCGCGGCCACATTTATTTTATAGTCGCGCAGATTCTCTCGGTCGCGACGAAGATGAACGGCATCAAGGATGATGGGCAAGCGTTACGCGGGAATCGCATTTTCGACGGAAAAATTACGTAAGGCAATCGCCTCCGCGGGCGAGTCCTCGATGTACCGAGTGTCGTGCAAAATGAGGAGAACGCGTAATGACAGGCTGCCGGCTTTAGTGGGCATGATTGATAACTATCCGATGCGCCGATCGAAACGGGAGAGCCATTACTTATCTCCCGAATGACTACCATTAAGCGCGTTCCATCGTCGATGTTGGCGTGCCAGGGCGGACTTTACAATATTCAAAGAGGGAACTCCACTCGATCAGTAGCACGGAAATAATTATTCTGGATTACTCTCGGGCCTCCCCCTCAACCCCTCCCGGCACTTTGCGTACACAATCGGGACGTCGCGCGTGGTTGATTTAAATATCAGCGAGCTTTAATGCGAACGCTTTACGGGATAACTATTTCCATTTGTAGCTCTTTGTATGTCCGAAACGATAGGGAATCAATAGGAATATACTAACGTTTTTTTTTTTCTATTAAAGTGATAAATTGTGATAATTCACATCAGTGGTTAACATGGTCATCTTGTTAAGAATGTATTTAATAACAAAAAATGAAATCCTTTAAAAATTGAAATTGATTAATTTTCACAAGTGTAAATTTATGAACAAAATCATATTCTTTACGTATTTCGAATAATCTTTAAT